TGCAATTTTCATAATAAGCTACCTGTTCTAGTGAAATAGAAGACCGTATGTATTATAATCTTCAATTTGGAACAGATATTTAACGCCATATAAAATAATTCTAATTAAGTAGCTGATAATAATATTACCCACAAGATCGAATCATCTTGCACACCACATTTGCATTATGGGCCCTTATCAATTTGCTATTGCCTTTCTATTAATTTGCATATTGGTATCTACCATGATTGGAGAAATTTAAATGATATTTCTTTCGGGTATTATATTGCTTAAACTCATTTAACCATTCACCCTAGTCTTAGAGAACAAATTACAAAATAACTGAATTTCTCAGCTGAAACTCAATCTTTGTGCGTCTTCATGCATTCAAATATGTCCGAAATTTGAGCCATCACGATGGTTTGTCATCTTTTCGTCGAGTTTCTATGCGCCAATTGTTTGTGTTTCGAAAATGGCGATTTTTGAATAAGTTGTGGAGCTAAAAAATAGCAGTCAAATAAACGAAAGTAGATTTCGCCAGCGGCTTCATTTCAAATTCGATTTTAAGTTATTTTGTCGGAATATCGATTATCTGACTAATATTTATTTTTATAGTAATAATGACACTCATTAAGTTAAAAAGAATATGTAAAGTTATCTAAATCCTTATCTATCCGAAATTTAACAAAATAATTTGAACATATTACTTACGTTTAGGTAAATTTCAAAAGGAGTAATGATGAAAACATTAGGCATACATTATTGAAAACGCGTGAAGAAGAAATAGACTGTTAAAGGAGATTAAAAGATAAGATTTGGGCCCCGATTAGTTGTTTAACTCTTGAGGATATAGAGAGCAACTCCATGACATTGAAAACTTTTCTCAAGAGTCATAAAGGGGCCCTCCCAATCCCCAAAAGCACCCACCATACCTCTTCGCCATCGTCTCACAGGAAGTCTCTTGGACTTATGAAGAAGACGCTCTTTTATAGTAGAGCCCACTTTTGAACCCTGTCCTTTCTCACTATTGGTCAATCGGCACTCACACAAATTGGTTTGCGTGCAGGTACATTCAGCACGCAACAGTGACACTTCGTGTTACCACACCTTCTCATTCTCCCCCCATGGTGCGGTGTGTTTCCATGCGCACGAACCACTCCTGCCATTTTGGACAAGTATTGGGGGAGGGAGGTCGGGGGGGGGGGGGGGGGGGGGGGNGGGGGGGGGAGGGGTGCTAATAAGCGTATGCTCCGCGACAGTTCAATCGATCGATTAAGCATGCGTGCGGCATGCATGGAAATATGCGAACTATGAGTTGCGTTCAGCCCAAAGTGTTGCCGACTTTGTAAAAGGTAGATTCCAGAAAATCGGTTCACTCAAAGTAGCTTTCTAACCTCAAAACGAATTGTCCAATTATTGATTTTTGGGAAGTAAATGAAGCTGTCGGAAATTCCAAACACTCAAAATAAATGCTCTTGTTCAAGAGTTACTTACCAACTAGAGGAAAGCTAGTGCAATGGTTTGTGACTTACAAGTGTGTTAATAATTATAAATTGCTTTCCATTTGAAAGGTAACTAAGATCAAACTCTAGATAAATACTACTAATTCCCACACGGAATGAAATCTCCTCGATCTACGAGATGTTAACATATTAGGCCATTTAATAATGGTTAAAAAATATAGAGTTTCCTCGGCGAGTAGTCCAATTATTAACTTGCTAACTTCAAACAACTTCAGTTCATGTATTTTATACTGTAGTTTTTTCCACCAGAAAAAATGTATTAATAATAACTTCCGCTTATTTATACAATTAGCAGGCAATTATAAGTAAACAATTCGGAGGGTGGAACAGAGCAATTTGGTTTAAAGCATTTCGAAAATAGCGTTTTTCTTTTAACTCACGGAGTACTTGTCGACGAGCTCCAATTCGTTCTTCATTTGAGGGGGGGGGGGAAGAACTCAAGTCATTCGGTAAAATCATTCTTTAGGGATAGAAGGTTCCAACATTTACCTTTTGAATGAATTATCGTTTTAACTGACTGCAATCAGAAGTAGTGGTAGTGTACCAAGACGTCCGTTTCGTTGTCATTGGTGTGTCAAGGAGACAGAGGAAATTATCATGCTGGAATCATACTCCCATTCCACACAATGGGCATATCTGCGGTGAAATATCGGAGAAAGAGGATATAACCAATTTTTAAGAGACGTTAATCGTCCATCGGCAAATTTTTTCCCTGAAAAGTGGTTAGGTTGATTTCAAATACTAATTAACTCTTTCCTCCCCAGATAATAAGGATATAGTAATATTTATTTAAATCAAATGGCAGGCGTCTTGATGGTTATCATTAGCCCTTTAGTTGACTTCAGACTTCACAGAGGGGAAGAAACATCAAATTGAAAAAGTCGACAGGGGGGGGGCAGAAGAGTGTTTCAAAGATGTAAAAGAGACAGACACAAACGTAGAGTGAAAAAGTTGAGGTGAGTACTGTGGTAGGGGTCGAATATGACATACAGTTGGGGGTGATGGTAATTTGAAGTGAGAAGTCAACTGCCGGTTAATAGACTTTTTGCCGTATGAATATACGTTGCCCAGGGTGCACCACGTGGAGGTAAGTCTATCGCACACCCCGATATAGTAATATAGTAATGTTACATTTTACGATATATGCAATACTTTAAAATTTTATAACGCACTGAAATGGAGTGTATGCCCAAATCAATAAGTAAAATGAATTGGCCCAAAAATTGTGGTATATAAAAGACGAAAATGCCTGAAATGGTGAATTTGGCAGAATGTATGGTCACCTCGTCCTATTTACTCCAGAGCTATATGCATAGATTCCAAACGATTTCCATTCCACGTGAGTTAATTAATTGATGCGATGACATCCTTCAGGACAATAAGTAATATGAAATTGAAAGCATTTTTTTCGTAAATTATTTAATTTCGAGCAGAACACATGAATGCTGGTCTCAAATCTCATTAACTCAAATTGAATTTCAAACACATCAGTAAGTAAACACCACGACGCACAATTTCTACGTTAGTAACAAGATGTCAAAGAATTGGGGAAGGGCTATCGAGACTGAGATTGTGGGGGGGGGGGGGGGGGGGGTGTGTGATCTAAATGACCTTTGTTCGGAGTAGCTTAGTGATAACCTAGACTCCTAACAGTAAGATGAGATTATTTTGTTCGAATCTTAAGATTACAAAGTCCAACTTTATTTGACTGAAATATCAATCACTTGCCGCACAATTGCATAGTTTCTAAGTTCAATTTTTTTAGCCAATCTAACTTTAATTCAGCATTTTGTCGCTAATTAATCGTAAATATGCATATTTATGATGCTCGAAATCGTATGGTCCATGATTTTTAGTATTTTGAGTAAATCAGAAGAGTTTGTGAATGCGTGAATTTTTGGCAATACTGTGAGTCTAATTGATTTATAACAGTCTTGATTTCTCAATATGCCTGCTTTTCAAAGGATTTTGTACAATCGAGAAAATATCCTTAAACTGCAGTAACTTCTTAAGTGATTAAAGACCTTTTCCTAGTTCAAAATTCGCCATTTCTTTTTACGGAATTTAGATAGGAACGCTTGTGAAAAGCGGCACTTCGTTTGTAACTGTCATAGTAAAATTCGCATATTTGAAAGAAGTGTCTAGTGCTACACAAATAATACCGTGTCTTCTAAGAATTTTGAACTGAATCATATAAGAGAGGCAGAGGGCAAAATGAGGAATAGACGAGAATAATGATATGCAAATCTCGCACTGGATGCAAATGAGCAGTCGCAAAAGACTCTTGCGTTCGGATGTGTGTGCGTGTGCGTACGTGCGAACGTGTGTGTGTGTGTGTAAGAGCTTGTGCACATTCACAGAATTAATCAGCGGTGGGCGTTTGTGCATTTAGGAGTTACGTGTTCTGCGTACATGCAAAACATGCATGTTGCCAGTGGCTACGAGATTCGCTTATGCGAGAAATCCAGCAATCTAAAGCCTTTTTTGCGTCGACAAGTGCAAATGGTTGTGCTCATTTGAAATAACTATTGCCATATTTGGCCATTTACTTTCCCAACTACGATTTTAAGTGCCTTGCAAGTCCTAGAGGGCAGTTTGAAATTTATTTATTTATATCGAATGGCAGGCGTTTTGATGGTTATCATTAGCTCTTTAGTTGACTTCAGGCTTCACAGAGAGGAAGGAATATTAAAGTGAAAAAAAGTCGATAGGGGGAGCAGGAGAGAGATTCAAAGATGTAGAAGAGACAGACACAAAGGTAGAAAAAAGGTGAGGTGAGTATTGTGGAAGTAGTCGGATATGGCATACAGTGGGGTGATGGTAGTTTGAAGTCAGAAGTCAACTGCCGGTTTATAGACTTTTTACCGTACAAGTATACGTCGCCCAGGGTGCTCCACGTGGAGGTAAGTCTATCGTACACCCAGAGTTTAAAATTAAAAACCAACTTTGACATAGGGTAAGAAAATTGAAGTCGAGAGTACAAGCAGTATTTCCCATCTGGTCCCATCACAAAGAGGGGGGAGGGGAACTTGAATGAAAATATGTTAGACTTAAGAACGCCAACAGAATAGCCAACTATGCTCCTTCAATTATTGACCAGACAACTGATAACGTTGTAAATAAAAACTTTTGGTATTAGAGTGCCTTAATGTAGGATTTCAGAATACTTTCATCATACCTTATCTAACTCAAGGTTAAAATCTCGAAGAAACGGTGAAGAATTAAAAAAATAGTCGAAAATATATGTTAGCATGAATTTATAAATGACCTGATAATGTAAAAAACTTTTGCAAGATCATTAAAATTCTCACCCAAGAGCACGGTTTTAAAAAATTTCCACGGATTCAATTTAAATCATGGTGTTTGAATCGATAACCAACAAGGCTAATATTTTAAAAAACGATTTCGAACCAAATCAATTAAGAAACCATAGCTAATCATGGCCAACACCAAATATGACATCATAAAAACAACGCGGAATTGTTTGTACAAAAGCCTTTATTTCTTGATGAATTTACCGCGCTTGCATTTAGAATGATAAGTTGACTGTTCATTTGTACATGAGTGATATTCGTTACCTCGCAAATGAAAGCACCTTTTGCATTTGTTACAATGTTGATAGCTCGGAGGACGACAAACTTTGCAAATCTGGCAATGTATGTATGTACCACCATGCTAAAACAAAGAGAGACTAACCAACTACTCAATTAATATAAGTAGATAGATATTTTGCATAAAGCTTACAGGGGTTGTGCAGGCGTTGCACTGCGTACAATGTTTGTTGCCCAAATCTGAGTAACGTTTGCAAATTTCACAAAACCAGTATTGGCTCTCGAGGCCCTCAGGAGGTTTAATTTCCTGGGGTGGTGCGTCAGTAAACATCCGAACGACAGAAACTCGTCGTTTTGAGTTATTTCCATCATGGCCGGTGCTTGTAAAACGAACATGCTTCTCATAAGTCACCTAAAGAGGCGAAAGCCAGACAGTTGTAAATTTATTTATACCAAGCAATATTAGTTAATATAAACATTCAAATCTCGAGTTGGAAACGAAACTACTATCGAATGATTGCATTCTTTTCCAATCAAAGTGATAATTGATCTTCGACATGATTGGAAGAGAATAAAGAATTTGAAAAGAAGCAAGGTTGATCAGAGAATCATGGAAAATTTCGTTTCATAAGTGAGACACTTAGAAATTAAAACCATTGCCACTAATGGAATGGCGCTTTTCCGTATTCTAAAGGTCTGTTCTCGACAAAATATTTTTTAACTTTTCCTACTTCGATGATGAAGTTCACCAAGCTACAAACTCAGAAGACATAAATCGATTACTAATTCTCGGAAGACAAGAAAACAGATCCGATTTTGTTCACAAGGTCTGAATAAACTTGAAGTAATCGAACGTTATTTACAAGCAACATACGGTAAGGGGGGCTCGATTTTATAATGTTGCATTAAGCCATGTTTTATCCACCTACTCAACTACCATAACCTAAAGATTAGAACCGATCTAGAAGTGACAGAAAGGCTTGAGCATTACCTTCAAGTTCGAAAGTCGGTGCAGTAAAGCGAATAACAACAATAATAATATTTATACACTCTGCAATAATATATATACAACAGGGTTATAACTGCATACCTTATAGTCTAGCATTTTGAGCTGTGGAGCAGCCTGAAGTAACTTTTTTCCGAGGAAGTAAGGGATAGTTATCATCAAGAAGACTTCAGAATTCAAAATCCCTTCCTTCAATTTGTTCAGAGAAACAATCAGAGGTTCCATAAGTGCACCAAAAGGTGGATCACAAAATATTGCCGTCCGACCTTTGCAAGAAAGCATGAAATTCTCTACGGTTGATTTGCCAGTAGGACTAAAGAAGTGGCAATTCAATGCATTGAATCGAGTAAATTGGGTTGGTGGATAAAAGCTTAGTAAGCGAGCATCCAAATCAAGAAGAAATTTGTTTATAGAGAAGCTCTGGGTCCCCAAAAAGTCAAAAAGCCTAGGCGCTCCAACACAAAGAATGTTATCGATCCGCAGCGCACGTAATGTAGACATCATAAACTTCAACCACTCGTCTGCGAAGAAATATTGCTAAATTTAATAGAATGACAAACGTAATGACGGCTTACTGCGTGCTCAGATGATTTTTCAAGGGGCTCAAGAAAATACGAAGGTGCATTGAGTTTGGAATTCGATAGATCACGAACGATATTGTGGTCAGCATGAACATTGGTTGGACCAATAAAAAAGACACCACAGGTGTGACAAAAGCAAGCGTTTTTAAAATCACTTTTGCTTATATCTGTAACAAAAATCTGTGTTCGAAGAAGCTTAAGTGTGAATTCGGTATCATTTCGGCAAGCTGGTTGATTTCGGAACGCTGAGCAAGTGTATGACGGTGTTCCGCCATTTTTCCTTTCCAATCGCAATTTAGGACCTTAAAAGAATTGAAACACTTGCCTGATAAATAAAACAGAAAATTGTTAAAGATAGAATTAAATAGAGCGCAACGAAAATGAAATAATTAGAGCATGGGGTCGGGAATATTTGAGCACGAACACAGCTGCGTATCCAAGGTGTACGCAGAAGTTAAAATGTAAAGACAGTTACCGTGACTGCAACACGGAGCATTATCTTCAATACAAAATGATGCGTAGAGGCCTTTGCCCAGAGAATGTCTTCTTTTCATTCCCATCAGGTGACCTTAACTTAAAACGCGCAGAATTCTTGAAAACGAATCAAACCATTCAGTTTCGAAGTAACAAAACTTACTGATAAATTATTAATTTTAATTTATTTAGCACAATTAGTAATGTCTTTTATGATTATCTTCAATGGATCTGTTTTATAATAAATAACTATAAATAATCAATTTGCTATCACGTATTTCCAATCCGCTACGACCTTATTACCTTCTTTAATTTAGATCTATATGTTTTTTTTATTAATTGAATTTGGGATGGTAAATTCAATGCTTATGGTGGTAACTGATGATCAATAGAGAAAGGCCACATTCAGTTTGATAAATACTTCATTACTGCAATTTAATTCAAACGTGGAATCAAATCTTCATAAAAAGTTTGAAGATCTTTTGTAAAATTGAGCTGGTTCTAGATGGGCTTTGTTGGTGACTGAACTCAACCTAATCTTAAGCTTCCCTGTGACCTTCAAAAGTAATCGATTTAAGTTGAATGGGTTAAACACTGGACGCCTCTATTCACTAGGTCAGTTTGATATGTCCCGTTGATTTCCTTCAAGATCGTCCCACTCACATTATAATAGAAAATCAGCCCTCAAACATCTCGTTATCTATTTCATTGCCGCTCATTTCCGTTCTCCAACAAAGTTTTATTTAATTCAGTCGGTACCGTTCATTACTATCGTAGTGCCTAAAAGGCTGCCATAATCCATTAATAATCAACCGCAGCGATTCTACCAGCTCAGGAATGACCTCCGAAAGCAGACAGATTCTTTTATCAAAGTACCTTAAAACCAATCGTTCCACAAAAAAAAAGGAAAAAAGAAAAACCATATAAATCACATTGACTAGTTTAGTAAAGATACCATTGACGTAACATAATTAGGCATAAAAACAAGAAACATGATTGGCATGATCCGTTCTGGTGAGATTGTTTCGTATGCTAATATATATATATAGATTGGCGCTTTATTCATCGCGCTTTGTCATGGAGGGTAAGGCTCTCTTAAGAAACGTGCCTTCTTGGTGGTAGCGGAGGAGTCGAGGTAATATTCTCCGGATTTACCATTGACTCAAAGAACTGCCTTGTTGGTGCCGAAGAGGATGCAACAGCAGAGGGGGAGAGTCCTGCTATCACAGGAGGTCCAGAGGGTGTCCTCTGACCTGGTTTTGGTGGAAGTGGTGGCAAACCTCCATCCACAGCAGTATAGGAGTCAGAAATTGGAACCGAAGCTAGCACAGAGGCATGAGCTAGCGTTGTGGGAATAGGGAAAAGAGGAGAAGGACTGTGAGAAGCTGAGGCTGGAGAGGAGTTAGAAGGCGCTCCGCTACTTTGTCTATGATGTGGAGGTGGTGGAGGAGAATAGATTGGAGGAGAAGGAATATTATTGCGGTGGTGGTGTTGGGGTACAGATGGGGGTATATTGTGTAAGTCATCTCCAGAAGCTGAACTTGTGCATGGTGGAAGCCGGCCATTTGTTAAGCTCTCCATTTGACTATCGGACACGCTGTGATGGTGAATCACTGTAAAACGAAACTATTCGATTAGACGATGTGAATAGGGGATGAAGTTTAAGAAAATCAACAGATGGGCGACTAAATTAGGGTTTATTAATTATAACACCTCACAAACCACCGAAACTAACCTCCAACAGTGGAGACAGCAACCGCAGTAGGTGAAGAAAGAGGCCTGGGTGGTGAAGGAGGAACCCTACTCCCAGGAGCAATAGGTCGGCTGTATCCACCCCCAAAGCCTCCACCATGCATCAATTGTTGCTGCATCTGCTGGCCAGCCCGATGTTGTCTCAGGCGGGTAGTCCACAAAGTAACGACTCGTTCCTTGTCTGCTGCTCCCGACTGGGAAGAGGGGTGAGGGGGTATGGGTGGTGGTGGAGGTGAAGGGGGTGGAAGTGAAGGAGGACTGGAGAGACGCGGGGATGATACCCTAGCACCTGACTTGCTCAATTGGCGAGGAATTAAGTAGGTCTTGTAAGTGGCAACTGATTCGTGTTGAAGTTTATCTTTCAAAGGAAGAGTGGCCAGATAATTCGCTGCTTGAATAGCCTCCTTGCTCAGTCGACGCTCCTATGTAAAGAAGCAAAACGGGTACTGAGCGTAATTTTCATGTGACCTTCAACCTCTGTTAACTCTGCTTCCTAATCTAGACCCCGTCGATGCCTATTAATTATGCGGTGAATTTCTACTCAAGAAAATTTGCAGATAATAAAAATCCGATCAATAGAGACTAAGGCGGCTGAGTTGATATTCTTTCTCTGGAGGACCTATCCCCACTAAATTTTATAATAATGTAAAAATGACATCGCTTAGTTTATAAAGTATTTTAGGAGCAAACCCACGCAAGTCTGCTCCCCCCCCCTCTCTCTCTCTCTCTCCCTCTCTTCGAGTCGAAGGCCATATAAATCACATCAATAGAAACTGGGTTTTACAATATTGGAGCAGGTTGGAGTTTCCGTTTGCAAAAAATAGAAGGGCGATGGCTTGGGGAATTTTGGCTGCCCTAGCATTTTGTAATGAAAATGATAACATAAATCCCATAGTTTCAGAGATTACCGGCCTTATATAAAGTATTCGGCATTAATGCGTAATATTATTTCAATGGCAACCTGGACCTTCGATTTTAATTAATACTACTACAACTAACCACTTCAGATGGAGGTTGGTGTGACTCCGAGGGGGTATCACTTCTCGGTTCATAGATAGCCGAGAGTGTGCACATTTCAGCATCCAGTTCACTTGAATCCATTTGAAACGCCTCCACAGTTGTGACCAAGGCCTGTTGAATGCTTTTGTCAACGGTGAAAGGATAAGGAATACTCTGAGATTTTAGGAAATTCTCCACCACTTCAGCCAGTCCTCGCAACTTCCCAAAATTAATGAGCCCCTTATCCTGAACCGAGTTTTTATCCTCAACTGGAGAACCGGTTGGAGTGACCCAATCGGGGGATTGGAGTTCCATGTGAATAAGACGCGTGGAAACATCAATTGGGAAGAAGGGGAGAGAGGGAGTATCACGTGACGCTGTAGTAGTGGAGCTGTCGTCGATCGATCGACCAGCGGGTTTCTTACTTCGACGATCAGAATTTCGACATTCACGCCGGAGTTTCTGTACCCACTTGCGATAAGGCCGAGCTCGACTTACGGCCTAAAAAGAGTAAAGTTGATGATGCACTTACCACTCCAACAGTATTGAATTATGCAAACGATGTCATACCTCGAGGGCTTTGTTGAGACGAAAGACAGAGGAGGAGATAAGAGCACCGCGAGATTCTAGACGGCCCTGCTCGTTAGAAAAGTGATCAAAGATGTACATCAAGTCGAAAACTCGCTGAACAGCCGCGACCCGATCATCGAAATTGCGTTGTGAGACGATGGAATGAACGAGCCAGTTGCGAAACTAAAAGAGGCGTTAAAGAGAATGCGTCAAAGGCATCTTCCGTCTTTCTCACGGTAAGATGTCTTAACTTTGCTCCGCCTCACATGGCTTAGAGTGTACTCTTGCTAATAAATTACAACGACTGGGTGCCGCCAAAAACGATCCCGTCTCTTAAAAAAACATGGTAATAATATCTGGATGAGCATGGCAGGGGGGTCCAGTATAATTGGTCATAGTTAGAACTGGCACAGCTATACCTTATCGCCGCCACCAGGACGTCCTCAAATATTAGGCAACTATCAAAAAAAGCTGGGATGGTCCAGCAACCAACCCTCTCAAGGCGTCTACTCGATACAGATAATCAAAAGAAAAGCATATTCCCTAACAATTGTTAGATGGGGATTTACCTGATTGGAGAATATCTTGATAGCTGTAATATTTGGTGAATCATCGGTTTGAAGTCCGCTCACTTCCCAGTACTGGATTCGACGGTAGAGTTCGAATTCGTATAGAGTTACTTGCTCAGCTAATTCCAGCGGATGGATCTGTGACGAAACAAAAGTTAAAACCGTAAATGAAATGAGAAAAAATGGGAATACGAAAGTCTAGTATAATTTATAACCCTATATATAGAGGAAAGAAGGAAGATGCTTCGCAAACACACTAAGGTAAGCGTTTGTCACAGCTCATTTTGGGTAGAAATTCCCATAACGAAGCCTTCCTGATGAGACTCGAATTCTGCCACCAATTTTGCTAGCCAGACTTAATCAGTGCGGGTGGTCATTCTACTCATCGGGGGGTGTGTCGACGGGAATCGATCAAGTGACCTCTGACATGGCAAACGTGAACGCTGAATAAGCTGATATCAACGCGTTGCCAGTAGAGGGGTAGCATTTCAAAAAGTCACCAGTTTTAACCAAGTTTTTGATTAGGGATGGCATTGGTTGATGAATATTGATAGTACAAACTCTGGTTTACACAACATGCAGGTTTGTCACTATCCACCCCC